TGATATGAGATGTGCATTCAGTTGAAAACACTCGGTAAGGATATCCACATATTCAAACTACTCACAAGCAATATAAGTAGCATAGTCGATTGTAGCAGCAATCCCAACCAGTGCGTGGCCGGGTTCGAGACCGGTTGGGTGTGATGATGAGATCGGTTCAGGCGAGGTAGAGCCGCAATGTGAATAGCTTCTCGGGTGAAAAACTATGTGAAGATCAATAAAAACGTGTGAAATACGTTTAGCCCTCCTTTCTTCATCACCACATTCGAGTTAGGCCGAATGAAAAACGAACGTAAAGAAATGTGTTGTTGGCTAATTGTTATGCCTCCTTATTTTTCACTTCAGAAATAGGCTCTTTCGAGACTACCAGAAGATCTGATACAAGTGCTGTATTCGACCTATTCCATTTCAAGAGATGAATGACACAATCATATGCCTGATCTTGCTTGAAATTCACATTTGCCCTGTGACCCGAGGGGACTCGAGCCGATTCGCATTGTTGGCTAACGTTGCAACACAACGAGCAGAGTTCAAATCCCGCCGGGGTGCTGATGAGGCCGAGGCGAGGCGAGGCGAGGCGAGGTCGAAACTGCAGTCCAGCCCAGTTGGGATGAGAATAGCTTTTGGGAAGCAAGACGATGCGAAGGAAAGTAGAAACGTAAGGCCTACTCGACTGATTGTGCGAAAAATGGAACTAAAAGTTCCTCATCAACTTGGGCAAAATAGAGTGAATACATCTGCTGGTGGTCTCGAGAGCGTTTCTTTTTCTAAATGGGACTGCAATAAAATAATGCGTTCATGTGGCTGATGGCTGCATTCGCCAAAGACTGGCGGGAGACAAGAATGTCTTTAGACATGGTTGGCTGCAGAGCCGGAAACTAAACAGCAAATTGACAGACGCAAGATTAGAGAAGCTATTGAAATTAAGAGGTTAAGGAGCACTTTAAATATGAACAATCAGTAATAACTACTTCCAGTTGTATTTGCTCTGTTTTATTTAAGGTATTTAAGGACTGGTAGTTGAATATTCCCACAATCTGACGAGTAGGCATGACGTTTTTATTACAGGAATTGTGGGAAAATTCAACCACCAGTCCTCTTATCACCATACACGAACTAGAATGATTACACCTGATACATATGATCTGTGTAATGAGATGTATTCACCCTATTTCGTGTAAGGTGATGAAGGACTGGTAGTCGAATTTTCCCACAATCATATGAGTTGAGCTGACGTCTCCATTGAATTTCACATAGCCTTGCTTTCCCAAACGTTGTGGGAAAATTCTACTACCAGTCCTTCATCACCTTACACGAAATAGGATGAATACATCTCATTACACT